TACTTCCAAAGACGCAAGTTGAGTGATAATATATTTTCCCTCTTCCTGTTATTGGAAGGAGTTCTGGTGTAGCACTGTGAGTTAATGTGCCAGACTGTAAAGCCATTTGAACTGCAAGGTGGCGGTTCAAGCTCACCAGCTGCTCCTCGGAAACCCTATGCAGGATTGCTATGGTTTGGAACTGACTCGATGGCACTTCACAACACAATCAATGGAAAGAAAATGGTTATATCAAATCTTCCCTCTTCCTTTTATTGGGAAGAAAAGGGGGAAGTGGGACAGTAAATCAGGATTGGTTCTTCTTTCTGAGGTATTGGGTTCAGGGCCCCACACAAAAATGAGAAATGATCCATAGCCTAAGATTAGTTTTTTGTGTTTTTTTCCCCATTCCTTTCCACCCACTTCTAATACAAGCCTTTTAACCCAGTGTCAGCAAGATCTCTCTGGTGTCAGTGGAACTCATTCCCTCCTCATGCTGTTCTCTGGGGCTACGGAGGCCACCCCGCAAGCTGTCATCAAGTCAACTCCAACTCGCAGACACCATATATAGGACAGTGTAGAACTCCTCCATAGGGTTTCCAAGGCTGTAAATCTTTACAGAAGTACACTGCTTTATCTTTCTTGTGAGGAGTGGCTGGTGGGTTCGAACCAACAATCTTTTGCTTAATCTGCCGCACCACCAGGCCTACCAAAGTGTGTGTAGAATGTCAATTACCTGATCTTCAAACAAGAGAAAAAAACAAATTAGTCTTAGATAAGGAAACTGGAGAGAGTCAAGGAACTGATTCTGTCAAGGAACTGATTCTGACTTCTGCTAATCCCTGATGTGTAAGTAAAATTATGTTTCACAAGATTTTTCCATGGCCACTTTTTTGGAATTAGATTACCAGGCTTTTTTTCTGAGAAGCCTCTGGGTGGACTCCACCCTCTACCTTGTGGTTAGCAGCCAAGCTCAGTAGACATTTGCAATACACAGCGATCCCAAATAAAGGGCAGACAAGGCTGATTACAGTAATGGGTCCCATTCATTCCAAAAGGAGGAGGATGGGAGGCATACAGCAGTCACCCGTCCATGCTGATTCTGTACTCCCAGAGAACTGTTGCTACAATCCCTTCTTGTTTTTGTCCTTAGATGCCATTGAGTCATGCACTACCTGGTCCTGTACCACCCTCCTCACCATTGTTGCCGTGTTTGAGCCGGCTGTTGCAGCCACCATGCTAAATCCATGTTAGGGGTCTTCTTTTCCATGAACCCTCTGTTTTACAAGCCTAATGCCCTTCTCCAAAGACTGGTCCCTCCTGATAACACACCAAAGTATGTGAGATGAAGTCTCACCATCCTGCCAAACAACCTCCTTCTCCTGTTGGTAAGTGTTGTCAAGTCAGTTCTGACTCATAGTGGCCGTGTATAGGGTTTTCAAGGAGTGGCTGATGGACTTGAACCACCAACCTTGTGTTTAGCAACAACAGGACTTCAAACCTAAGGGTGGAGAATGTTTTGTGATTTAGCCCTTCTTCTGCTTCTGAGGGGAGCACAGTGGCTCTGTAGGCTAAGCACTGGACTGATAACCACAAGGCCAGGGTTTGATTCTAACAGTCTCTGCATGGTGGAAAGATGAGGCTTTCTGCTCCCGCAAAAACTTACAACCTCAGAAACCCTATACAGCGTCGCTGAGTCGGAACCAACTCTTCGGCACCTAACAACAACAGCCATCTATTTCTGAGAGTAAGCCCCCAATTCCTTGTTTTCTCTAACTCTTGGTCTACCCTCTGGGTGGTCCTTCATCCTCCTTAATCTTCCTTGTTCACTTCCAAAGATTTAGCAGTTCTACAGCCTGCATTCTGCCCATGGAAAACTCAGAGCTCAGGGGGATATCTCTAATAGTCTCAGTTGCTCTTAGCCCAGGCAGGTGGCACTTTTGCTGCATTAGTGCTACCAAAACCTTTTGGCTAGCTATGTATTTGATCCCAATGTAAAAAATCAAACCCATAATTCTTCTAAAAATATGCCTATCTCTATAGACTTAATTATGGGTATTTTTTCCCATTGGGTTTCTATGGGACCACACCATTAATCTTCTTGGGAGGCCTTTTGTCCAGCTGACAGGCACTAGTAGATGTCACCTTAATCCTTTTAGAGACTTTAGCGCAGGATCTTAGTGTCACCCCCTTCATTTGGTGTGCATTCTGAATCTATGAGTTCCTGGATCCCCTTGGATTTGGTTTATTCCCTGAAGCTGTATCAAACAGCCACACCTTTGAGTTGCTAAATGAAATGGTTTCATTTCCTAAGCCTACAATTTCTAAGTTCTCAGAATGCCCTCTAAATTTTGCTCTAGTAGTACCTTATCAATTCAGCCAGCAGCAGCCAATTTACATCATGCTTGCATTTATTTCTGGCTTAGGCATCTGCAGGTCTGCTGAGAGCCAGCTGATCTAGGGTGGGCTGCTGGTTGGAACCAGGTCTGCTCCAAGTGTTCTCATTCTCATGGCAGCAAGCAGGAACACCTGAGAGAAAACCCAACCACACGAGCACATTCCAAGCTTCTCACAGCAGCAAGCAGGAACACCTGAGAGAAAACCCAACCACGCGAGCACATTCCAAGCCTCTGCTGGTACCATGTCTACTAAAATATCATTGTTCAGGTATGAAATATACTGGCCACGTTGAGGCCATGGAAAAGGTGTGGACGTGTAAGACTTAACAAGGGAGTGAAGAAATGGGACCAATAATTCTAACACAAAGGCATTTTCTCATTTCAAGTTTTGTTTTTAAATATATGGTCAGTATGCATAACAGTTTGCTTTGTCCTTGAAAATATTTTGCATCATTCAGATCCTCTGTTCTTAATTTTTGTCTTCTTGCTCTGTTCACTTTTTGACAGATGAATTCTCCTGTCACTATTTTTTTCTGTCAATTTCTTCTTCTAACTCTGGACCAAGCTATATTGTTTTCCTGCCACCCTTCCTTGTTGTTAGCTGAGGCTGGTGGGCTGTGTACCACACTTTCAGGCATAGGCCATACAAATCTCTTCCTGCTCATTCTAACCAGGTGAGAGAAGGCACTAGAAGACTCTGAGGGTGAAGGAGATTGCTGAAAGTCTGGGCCGGAAAGACTAGAGCAGAACCCTTGCCCCACACCTCACTCTGCAGCTGACTGGACTAGTATGAGTTAGAAATAGCATTCTGTTTGGGCATGTAACTAAGATTTGGGGCTTCTTCATTTATCATAGTCATTAGTATGTCTGTCTGAGTCAAAAGTATTACTACAAAATCTATTCTTGTAGTTTATCTATTAAACAAAAATATCAACATGTGATTGCTTCTCAAGTATTTTCCATCTAGGTCTATGCACTCCTGAAGGAAGTGCGTCCATTTCTCTAACCCCTCCCCAAAGAATTCTACACTCTTCAATTTACACCACATCCAAATGGCAGTTTGGGCATCCTTGAGGAACTGAAATCATGTTCTTTTAAAATATTCTTTGAGTTTGAAGAACCAAAGGAATTCTAAAGGGGCAGGATCAGAGCTGTGGAGGGAATGTGATAAAGTTTTCCAACAAAATGTTTGTAGGAAAATCTTTGGTACCATCAAAGAATGAACAGATGCATTATCGTGATGGAAAAATAATTACTTGGTGTAACTTTCCTGGCCTTTTTCTCACCAATGACGTTTTGAATTTTCTTAAAACTTCTAATAAACACCCATGATCATTCTGTGTCCTTTGAGAAAATCTAAAAGGTTACCTATTTGAAATCCCCCAAAGCAATGACCATAATCTGAGCTGACCTCTCTGTCTTGAATTTAACTGGCCCAGAAGATCCCCTTGGAAGCCACTGCTTTGACTGGATCTCTTTTGGAAGGCACCCTAAAGAGACTAAGACAATATAGGACTGAGAGAACTTGTCTGCAGCCATCTACTGATTGCAAAAACATGTTTAAATATATTATGTTTGGAAAAAAACCAAGCATGCATGAACTGGAACCCTAGTTGTTGTTGTTTGTTGTTATGGTTATATGCTGTGGCGTCGGTTCCGACTCATAGCGACCCTGTACAGGGTTTCAAAGGCTGTAAATCTTTACAGGAGCAGAAAGCCTCATTTTTCTTCCGCGGAACAGCTGGTAGTTTCGAATTGCTGACCGTGAGATTTGTTGTTTAGTGCTGTGGAATTGGTTCCAACTCAAAGCAACTAACCCTGTAGTTTCTGAGGAGCAGCCGCTGAGCTTGAAACGCTGACTTTGTGGTTCAAAGTGACTTTGCAGTTCTGCGCATTAACCTGCAGTGCCACTTGGATGCCGGAACCTTAGTAGCAATACTTTTTGACTTACCCTTATGTTACCTATGAACACAACTATTTAATATTACAAGCTCCCAGTTAAAATCAAAAGCTTATCTTTTTTTTTCATTTTCTTCATGTATGAGCTAAAGATGTATAAATGTTATAAATCATTAAAAATTTTTGTCATTTTCTGATGCTGATACATTAAATATACCATTGAATATTTTATTTTTATCTTTTCAGTTTACATATTCAAAGTACTCAAAGACAATAGTAATATATTACATAGAAATAAAACAATGATTTTTAATAAAACCAGTGCCAGGGATGGTAGGTCGCTCTGAAACACTTAATGAAAAACATTTGAACATATTTAAAGAGTGTTTTTCTCGGTTGCTAGTTTGATGGTGAGATACTAACTACCATATTTTAAGTAATAATGTACATGGAGCTAGCCTAACAAGAGTGCAATTTTTTAGTGACTCCTCAATTTATTTCAACTTACTAAATGCATGAATTTAAACTTGTGTTTTATAGACGAAAGAGTAAAACTAGAGCAGTAAGCAGCTTTAAAAATATAGTTAAATTTCTTATGCACACTTACTAATAGTTTATTTCTTTAGAGAATCGATTATACTATAGTATTTAACCCAGAACTTGTATAATTCTTCCAAAATTCAGGTAAAAATTGTTCCCAGAATTATGTAACTTTCCCTGAATTCAGCACTCAAGAATTTTCTTTTGGTAGCAAGAGCGGCATAGGGGACAAGTGTATATCTCTCCCAAGGAAAATTCTTCTAAAGCGACAAGACAGGTGTTATGGAACATATGTGAGCAAGACAAGAGGACAGTCTCACGAGAATGCTGGTTAGGATTTTCCCCTGAAGATGCACTTTGGAAATTGCTCTGAAATGAGAGTGGGGTGAGGCAGATGGAGCATTCGTAGATCTCCTGACGCAGCGCCTGTGAAAAAGAAACAAGGAGTTTTGTTCTGGTAGCAATTTATCAGATTATCATAGCATGTTACTTAAAATGAGAACCAGACATCAAGGCACAAAGAAAAAAGTTCCATTCTGTGGTAAAATAAAATATGCAAATATTGCTCTTATGGAAAATGGAGAAGGTATAGAAATAAAGTTGATATACAACTTTAAAACAAGCACATTTTATAAAATGCTGAAGAGTAATACTTTGCAAAATTGTTGTTCTTAAGTGCTGTCAGGTCACTTCTGACTCACAGAGATCCTGTATAGGGTTTCTGAGGAGCAGCTGGTCGGTTTGAGCTGCCAACCTAGTTAGTTGTCCAGTGCTTATCCTAAGGCACTGCACTAGGGCTCCTGTACATTTAAAAATCATTGATTCTAATAGCTGCTATAGTTCTTTTTAAATTCTCCTAGTTTTGCAATTTCTGACCCCTAGTTTTGGTTTTTAAAAAACCATTTCAGATTCCACGTGGGCTACTACAGATGCAAGAGAAGAAAAAGCTAGAACATCTAGGAAAACCTTCCATGAAGGTAGTATATATGGCAGTTTTCCCCCCAACTTAAACATTTTCATTTTTCATACAATGGTGTCATCAAATCAGAATTCTAAACTGAAGGGGATAATCACTGTCCTCAGGACTAAAGCCCAAGGGAGTCCCACTGCTGGTGTCAGATCACAGCCAGGGTGAGACTATTTTGGGCTAGATATCACTAGGCGTTGCCTTCCAATGAATGCTCCAGAAACATAAAATCCACCTAGCTGACCTTCCCTTCAGATAATCGCTTTGTCTCAGTCTCTTGCTGAGTGGTACGTTTACAGAGGAGGCTGCTACTGTACCTCAACCTACCTGAATTTGAATTTTATCCCAGTCTTCTTCTGTAATTTCCTGGCCACACTTTTCCTCCAGCTGCTTAAGAATGCTTCTATTTATAGCTAAGCAGTGATCAATTTCTGAAAAGAGCTCATCTATGTTTGTATCATATGAGCATAGTATTCGCTGACTGATTTCTGTGAACTGAAAAGGACAAAGGGAGAATGAGCAAACTTACACACGGATTTTGAACTTGGGGTGTGGACATAAAGGAAGAACTTTCTTGAGTTCATTAAATATCTAGTTTTTAAAACAATACTACTTGGGGAAAAGGTCTATATGACTATTTACTTAAACTACAAATACAGACAATACAACAGGGCTTCAAAAAGCTCATGGAAAAAAGATCATGAAAATTTCCCACGAGCTTTATGAAGTCGTCTCATATATATGGACTCATATAGATTATAAAAAAATAACCACTTTACTACATTAAGAATCAAGACACAGATTAGACATTTAAAACGTTAGCACCATTATCATCCTGCCCAGCAATCATTTTACTCAAATCTTTATGGAGGGCGTTCACTGAACAATGCCACAATGTCTGAGAGCCCTCACCAGGCTTTTAGAAACTGTTGTTGTTACTGTTGTTAAGTGCCGTTGAGTCGGTTCCATCCCATAGTGACCCTGTATAGGATTTCCAAGGAGCAGCTGGTGAGTTTGAACCACTGACCTTGTGGTTCAAACCAACTTTGCAGTCCAGTGCATTAACCCACAGTGCCACACTAGTACCAGTTTATATCTCTTTGGTTGCTGATTGTGCAGTTTTGTTTGGTTTTAAAAGTACAACTGTGTTCTTTCAGCCACAGCCATTGAAACCTTTATGGAGCACAGTTCTGCTATGACACACATGAGTTGGAATCAGCTGACAACACCAGGTTTGGGTTTTGATGTGGTCAAAGCATTGTGTTAAACCCTTGAGAGGATTTAAAGCTTGAATAATGGATGTGAAACCCCTTTTAAAGAATACTATCAGGTCTTTTCAATGGCTCTGCATATTACACAAATAATAGCACCAAATAAGAGAGAACTGAAAATCTTTTTCATAAAGATTACAGCCAAGAAAACTCAGTGGAGCACAATTCTGCTCTGTAACAAATACACGAACCGCCATGAGTTGGAATCGACTAGACAGCAACAGTTTTAGTTGTTTTTTTAATGTGTATTTTTAAATCTTTTCAATATTAAATACAACATTCCTTGCCCTTCAGGAGCTTACATTTGATACAGAAAATAAGAAATGTATAGTAACATTGACTATTCAAAGCCAAATCTGGAATCAGAGAACATTTCTTGCTGGATTCCTAAAAGAGATATATATGGATATATGTACATTACAGAGGAATCCCTGGATGCCACAAACAGTTAAGCACTGGACTGCTATCCAAAAAGGTTTCCATTTGAACCCAGAGGCAACTCAGAAGAAAGGTCTGGCAATCTGCTTCCAAAAGGCTGCAGCGATGAAACTGCAACAGATGAGGTAGTCATGAGTCAGAATTGATTCTATGGCAACTGGTTTTTAATTTTACAGAAGTAGATCACCAGGCCTTCCTTCCTCAGCACTACTGGGTGGATTCTAACCACCTCTCAATGAGTAGCTGAGTACAAACCGTTCGTGCCACCCAGGAACCTGTGCTGACCATGCTACGCTAAGTGCCTTTGATTCAGTTCCGACTCACAGTGACCCTGTATAGGGTTTCCAAGAAGCAGCTGGTGGGTCTGAACTACCAACCTTGTGGTTAGCAGTCCAGTGATTATTTCACAGTGCCACACCAGGACCATAGCAAGTACTTAATGAATACTTCACTGAAAATGGAACTGGTCAGTTTTGCAAACACAACAAAGAAATCTGGTGAAGGTAGATATTAATGCTTAATACTCCAACCTGAATGGTAATTAGTGTAAACTAATAAAAAAGCATATGTAAGGCTTAGGATATGCTATATCTTTATAATAACATTATTATATCTTATTATATATATGCGTAGTGGTTATGATTCGGGCTGCGAGCCACAAGGTCAGCAGTTCAAAACTACCAGCGGTTCTGTGGGAGAAAGATGAGGCTTTCTGCTCCCGTAAAGATTTACAGCCTCGGAAACCCTGTGCAGGGTTGCAATGCGTCAGAACTGACTCCACGGCACATAACAACAACAACATTATATATATGATATTTATAAGAATTGCAAGCAAATTCTATCTGCAGATGTTTGGTTCTGCAAAAGATACCCAGTATAGAAAAAATTGCTCCCATCATATTCACACTAGTTTTGGTATTGATTTTTTCTGTTAATTCAATTTACAATATTTTCTAGTGTCTATTATAATTTCTTCTTTGACCAACAGATTGTTTATAACTGTGTTTGTTAAGTTTCAAACACGTAAGATATTTCTTGTTAGTTTTTCATTTTTATTTATACGTAATTTTTATAAATGACCCGTGTGTACTTTGGAAGAATTACTGGAAACAATGGTTTACATCTTTAACTCTAATAATGCTTTTGCTTTAAAATCTATCAGTATACCAGTCATCTTCTTTACAGTTTTCCTGGTAAATATTTTTTATTTCTTTTTACCTGTATCCTATGGTTTCATGCATCTCTTCTAAATAACCCATCGCAGGATTTTTTATTGGTGCATTTGCTCTACTTAATCTCATTGTTGACATAGTGTGAATTATTATTCCATGTTACTCTGGATGTGTACTGCCAATTGTCTGTGTAATTGCCTGTTACCTTTTTATTTAAAATTTCTGCTTTCATTTTTCCTCTTTAATTACTTTGAAAATTAAAATTATTCATATAATTTAAATGATATTTTATTATGTTTTGGGTGAAGGTTTACACAGCACATTAGGTTCCCATTTGACAATTTATACACAAATTGTTCAGTGATATTTTTCACAATGGGTCAACGTTCTCTTTAATTGTACTCTGGCTGTTCCGTTTCCAGTACTCTAATTTCCCTATTTCTGTTCTTTTAACCATGGCTCTAGAAATGCATACTAAATATTAAAGTTAATATTTTCATCCTCTTAAACAATACAAGGATCTTAGAACATTTTAACCCAGTGTTCCACCTCAGATTTGTATTATTATTGCCATGTAAACTCTCTCTCTTTTAACCCATAACATTTGTTTTTGTTTTGCACAATCAGTGTCTATTTAGATTATCTACATTTTTATCACATTTTTTTGTGCTCACTCTTTATATTTCAGACTTTCCATCTGTAATCATTATATTTTTTCATGAACTGCATTAGTTTAGGATTTCCTTTAATGAATTTGTTTTAGTGGCAAACTCTCCCAAGCCTTGTCAGTCTGAAAATGTCCACTTAAGTACTCGATCCTTTTTGCTTTTATCCAGCCAAGAACTTTGCCCTTGCAAATCACCTCACACTCTTCTGCATCGGTATCTCCCTGTCTTTTGACTTTTTCTGACATAATAACGCACAGCTTAAAAACAAGCAAAATAGCCCAAGACTTCACTTCCATTGCCAGCACCCACTGCCTGCACCACCTTGTTTCTTTGTGGCAAAACACCTTGTCGGACTTCCCACACCCTACTTGTTCCCACTCCAGTCAGACTTTCATTCCCACCATTCCAGAAAAACCACTGTTGCTGAGGTGACCAGGGATGGTCTCATGCAATATTTAATGGTTAGTTTTCAATACTCAGTTAGTTTTCAGCTTCTCAGCAACATTTATTGCAACTGGTAATTCCCTCTTTTTTGAAAGAATTTGCTTATTTGGTTTCCAAGACTTGACTGTCTTCTTGGTTTCCTTCTTCGCTCACTAATCACTTCTCTGTCTTAAGTGACCAATGTCAAGGTTTGACCCTGGGGCTTCTCTATTCTATGATGCCTTTTCCCAGAAGGTACTCCCGGGTTTTAAAGACTCTTTACAGAGTGAGACTTTTCCAATAACCTTTATAGAACTTCTCTTTTCTGAGCTCTAATCCTGTAGATCTAATTACCTATCTGACACTTTCACCTTCATATCCAATGCAGTTGTTGTTAAGTGCCATCAAGTTGGTTGCAACTCATAGCAACCCAGTACAGGATTTCCAAGAAGTGGCTAATGAGTTTGAACCACCGACCTGTGTTTAGCAGTCCAGTGTTTATCCTGCAGAACCATGCCAAGACTCTTCATATCCAAAAGCCATCTCAAACAATATACCTAAAACACAATTCTTAATTTACTGTTCCTTATACATAACAACAACAAATACCTGTGTGTGGTACTGTGGGTTAATGTGCCAGACTGCAAAGCCACTTTAAGTGCAAGGTTGGCGGTTCAAGCTTACCAGCTGCTCCTTGGAAACCCTATACAGGTCGCTATGGGTCAGAATTGACACCACCAATACCTGTCTCGGAGTCCTGGTGTGGCGCTGTGGGCTAATGTGTCAGACTGCAAAGTCATTTGAACTGTAAGGTCGGTGGTTCAAGCTCACCAGCTACTCCTTGTATACAGGGTTGCTATGGGTCGGAATCGACTCGACGGCACTTAATAACAACAACATACCTGTCTCTCTTCAGTCTTCTCCATTTTTCTATACTGTTTTCAGTTGCTTGTGCCAAAATTCTAGGAGTCAACTGTGATTCCTCTCTCTTCCTTAAACCCCCAATCCAATTCACCAGCAATTCCCAAAAGTCTACCTGTGAAACATTTCCCAAATGTGAAAATGCTCACAATTTACCCAGCAGCTACCTCAAGTCCAAGCCACCTTCTCCCACTACTTGCAGAAGCCTCACACTGAGTCTGTTTCTAATGTTGACCTCACCCCATAATCTGCTTACCACCCAACAAAGTGATCTTTAGAAACTGTAAACCATACCTTTGTTTCTTCTGCTCAGAACTCTCCAAGGGTTGCCTCTAATGCTGCATTGATCACCTGTGCTCTTTGCCACACTGGTCTTTTGTTCCTGAGACATCCACACCTGTTTCAGTGTACCTGTACTCGCTCTTCCCTTTGTCTGCAACATTCTGTCTCATATTTTGGACAGGGTCGTTCCCTTCATTTAGGTATCTGTTCACATTTCATCTTGGCAATTTTCACATTATTTAAAAAAAAAAATGTTTTTCTGCAATGTACTCTCTATCCTTGAACTCTGTTTATATTTTTATTCTTTAAATTTGTATTTT